TTTGAGAGGGATTTTTTATGTTATCAAAATAACAATCGATCAAATGACATGAAGACGATGGCTTCATTTTATAGCCATAGCGGTAAGATTGAACCGCTGTACTCTGTGTATATTAAGGTGAAATCCTCTAAGGACCTTTACACAAAATCAAAGACACGAGTACTCTCACCTAGTATCAATAAAGCAACAAGGAACTTGAGATCATCATGGCAGAAGCAAGAAAATATATCATAAGCTGTATCCGAAGATGAAAATTTCCAAACTCGCGCTAGATTAGAAGCTATTCTCTCTAGAAACAACCAATGACGTACATCCTAGTAAGCGTAACAAAGTGTTGTACGTGTGTATGATGATTACGTGTGGATAATTGGATCTTAGTTTAGTATGTTGAATTTAAATCGTAGTCAGATTAATGATTTGACTTAACATATTTCGTAAACCTGATATACGGTAAACCGAATAAGCCACTAAAATTCAAAGATGAATTGACATGAAGGGTTGATAAATGGACACGTAAATACAATATCGTGCATATTTTAATTTTCATTTGAAAAATTCTGTTTCAATTTTAAATAGTAATTTGGACTTTCCTTCGTTATTTATTTTATGAAGTTATATGAAGGCGAAAATGTAGGCCAAAAATGGTACAATAATATATTTTAGGTGTTAGTTATCCTACCGACGTTATCATCTTTGACGTCAAAGATAATAGACATTAAATTTCTTGATGAAAAAAGACAATGACCAAGGAATTGATTAGCAAGTTAAATCCTAACTATTAACATTTTTCCAAAAAAAAAGAAAGTTAGATCCTAACTTTGAGTTCACTCTAAACAAGGAAAATCAGATAAATCGAGGCCTAAGATTACTTATCATGCATCAAACACCCTAATATACTCTAGCCATTGTCCAGAAAAGCAAGCTTAATCAAAGACATAATGAAAGATTAAAGAAAAGAGATTTGGAAAAACTTCACTAAAATTGCATGAAATGAGAAGACTTGATCTTCAAAAGATAAAAAAAAACTTCCAAAAGTTTCTTCTTTTATCCAAAGGATAATAGAGATGAAGAAAACTTAGGGTTTTAATGTCTCTAAAACTATATATAGGACTAGTAAAATGTATCCAGATCAACCAATGACAAACCAAGTCAAATCCGGATCACATCAGTTTGTGGACATGTGATCAACCTGGCTGGTCGACTGGATGGAAGTGAGTTGGTCGATCCAGCGTGTATCAGCGGATGGAAGTGTATTGTGCTGCAGTTTCGATCGACTAGTCTGATTGACCCGTTCTAGAGGGTTTGGGCAATCCAACATGTATCAATCGAGTGGAAGCCTCTTGATGCAGCTTCGATTGACTGACCCAATCGACTAGTTATATGTGGGTTGATCGATCCAGCCAACATTTTGAGGAGCTTTGTATTTTCTCCATTTTTCTTGGTGCTCCTCATATCCATCTTGGTTCCTTACACTTCTTAGCATCCACCTGAAATAGATTCAATATGCAATGCAAATGCATGGAACAACACCTAAGACTATCAGACTCCAGCTAAATTAAAATGAGACTCAAATTAAAGAGAAAATTGAAAGACAAAAGATAAAAACTACGAAGAAATGTATGGTAGGGACACTAAAATATGAATGTATCACTTATTATTTACACTTGGATTCACTTTCGTTAACCTTATTAGAATTTTTTCCAGATCGACCTGGAATAATCCATCATAAACGTTTTGGATAAAAAATTGGGTACTTAACTTGCAAGGATAGCATTTTCAGCTATTCTTAAAAGAAAAGAAAGCCAGACACATGAGACTCTGAGATACCTTGTCTAGAGGAGCAGAAATCCAGTTCGAAGAATTATAAATTTAGTTTTTGATTTTTATGACATAAATTTCGAGTTTTACCTATACTGATTATATATATACATCAAACATTTGGTACATATATACATATCGTCTACTTGATTTTTTTTTATTTTCAATTAATCTTCGTCATTAGCGAGTGAACTACTTAGTGATACTTTAAAGAATGCAGCTTAGTAATAAAAATC